TCAGCTTAAAATTGGAACGTACTGTTTCATTTAAAAAATACAAAGGAAGCAAAACAAAGGCAGGCGTAAGCCCTGCTCTGACTAGGTGTTGACAGGCTGCTGTGCCTGGTTTCCCACCGGGGAAGTTACGCTGCTCCCCCGGGAGAAAATGAGGCGGTAATTACAAATGAGAGCTCGATTTCAAAAGGCTTTTACCCAGATAACTTTGCCCCTTTTTGGACTTAACAAAAGCACATTGATCCTTGACAAAGCCAATATAGTTTGCACATCAAACGTCTCTTGTTGCCAAACTAAATATTTGGCCAAATGATACACAGAAAGGTGTTTTGGCTTACAACTAGAAAAACAAGTAGGTAGGTTACAAAAGGCAGAAGAGATGTTCATTTCTTACAAGAATAAAATATCTACATTGCTATTTATCAAGTGTGTTATCCCTCCTCACCACAATCAAACGTAATACGTAATGTACCTTCCCTGTTGATGACTTTCACTGCGCTTCAAAATATTTCTAGAATGACCTTACCAGTATCTAATTAATGCCCGAAATAGAAATAGCTCATATTGAGTAAACTCTCTGCACGGACACGATGATATATCATATTGCATTTATGTCCGAAATCCTTATATCTGTTCTATTGGAGGGAGCGGTGGTATCAATATGCAACTGAGTGTACAAGTCACAACTGTATTATTACGGCTATTAGCATTTTTATTACCTACCTACCGTGGCCAAGGAGTATTTTGCATATTAATGCAGGCTTCCCAGCAGCCTTATGAAATGGGCCTGCTCCCCATTTTATATAAGGCCCCTGGAGCGCTCAGCTACTACCCTAAGTCATGAGTGGTCTCACTTGAAAGCCACGCTCTTTTCCACTCGACCACATTGACAGCGGTGACTGGTAAGAAGTCGGGAAGCAGCTCAAAGGTGGCTAAGAGGGCCAGGTTGGGGGCTGCTGTTGATGAAGGCAGGAGGGGCGGCGCAGGTGGGGTAGGAAAGGTGCGCTAAGGTCAGGCGGGAAGCAGCAGTGAGTGAACGGCACACACGTGAACGTGGTGCGGGACGGCTGGTGACGGCGCTGACGAGGCAGCAGCAGGGACGGCTCTGGACCGGCAGGTGAGCCCTGCCCCAGGGCTGGCGCCCGGGTCTGTCACTGCTTGTTCTCTCTGTGACCTTGGGCAAGTTACTTCACTGCTGTGCCTCAGTTTCTCCTTCTCCATCTGTGGGGGGGGGGGTGTCTCTCAGGCCTGTCAAAAGTAGACTCAGGAGGCAGTTTGCAAGTGTTCGAAAATGTCAGCGGGAGAACGGAGAGGGTCTGGATCAGGAGTGGCAGTTCTGTGAAACAGGGAAGGGAGCCAAGTGCTGTTCTGGGACGTTAGGTGGGCACATCCTCCAACCTCTGCCAATGAACCCCTGTCATAGCCATACACGCCGCCCCCTGCTGGCGGCTTTGGGGAACACCGCCCAAGACATGGCGGAGGGATGATGGACAGGGAACACATTTTACAAGAAAGCTAAAAATGATACACTGCTCGTGGGAGGAAGGGAGACGGGATCTAGACACAGGAGGTCAGAGGAGGTCAGATCAGGGTGCAGGACAAGCCTCTGTGAAAGTCAGAGCCTTGCCTCTGTTGACGGTGTCTTCAGTACACATGGGAATGACCGAGAGAAGCAGTGGAAACGGGAAGAAGATGAGCTTGTTAGAACCGGCTGTCCCTGGAAAGCTGGAAAGGGAGGCCCGGCCCAACGGTCAGGGCGGCAGATGATGGTGTGGCAGGGGCTGACTACGCAGAGGGGGTGGATGGAGACCCCTGGCTGAGAGGTGGGTCAGGGAAAGAACATGGACAGCGTCCCAAAGAGAGGGACCATGGACAGGTGACAGACAAGGGGACTTCTAGGTGAAGGGGACCATCAGCTCTACCAGACGCTGCAGACAGGACTTCAAGAATGACCGCTCGGGGCACACAGCCTGACTGGGGTTTTGGAATGTGGAAGTGCTTCCTGATCTTCAAGGGTGGGATTTCTGTTGTTGGTACTGGGGAGGGTCAGGGAGGAAGGGGAAAGTGAAAGATAAATGTGGATGAGGGCGATCGGGACCCACAGAGTGTGCCTGAGGAAAAGGAGAGACATTGGCTGAGGACATTCAACCAATGTCTGGAGGAGGCAGAGTCAGGGAAGACAGGCAGACACGTCAGACTTTACTGGACAAGCAAGGGTGTGCCCACACCACATGCTGAATGGGTCTTCACGAGCTGCGTCTCTGAAAATCTCCGCTCTATGCCCCGCCAAGGCATGAGTAAGTGGCTAAGGTCTGGACTGGGCGTGATCAGGTCGCTGCCCAAGAGGAGACCAGCTGGAGAGGCCTCAGAATCAGGGCTGGGGTGACAGGAGGTGAGTGAGGCACTCCCCTCAGGCACGGGATTTAAGGAGGCACCGAAAAGCTCAACAGTCATGATCAATGACATCTCAGTGCCGTATTTTAAAAATTAATGCAGAAAAATCCAGAATGAAAGTATCAAAATTTTAAACAAAGGGAAGTATGTGGAGTGAACTGATTCCCAACCAAAATTCCTGTCTTGAAGTCTTAAAACCATCCCCGCCAAGATCTCTTCTTTCCTTCCTCCCTTCCTCCCTTCCTTCTTCCCTTCCCTCCTTCTTCCCTTCCTTCTTCCCTTCCCTTCCTTCTTCCCTTCCCTTCCTTCTTCCCTTCCTTCTTCCCTCCCCTCCCCTCCCCTCCCCTCCTACCTACCTACCATGCGAGGCACAGTAAGAAGGGGGCCGCCTACAAGCAGAAAGAGATGTATCCTGCAGAAAGTTGACCTGGGACATCCCGCTTCTAGAACTGTGAGAAAATAAATGTCTGCTCTTTGAGCCACTTGGCCTGTGGTGTTCTGTCATGGCGGCCCTCGCTGCCTGGGACAGCTAAGTTCCGACAGCGCTACGCTGAACACCTTAGAGCCTGAAGCGAAAGGAGAAAGCTCCCTTCCTACACACAAGATTTTGTGTTCCTTTTTTAATGGTTAACTTTTCCCATAACACTAATGGTGTTAAAAGGGTATATGTTTGCTTCCATTTAAGCCAGGAAAATAAAATTATCATGAATTCTGTTGTTGGTGTAATTAGGGTACTTAATATTAAAATACTGTTACACATTTTCATACGTATATATTCCAATTCTCCAATAGCTTTTCAGCACTCTCATGTTCTGTCAATAAAAATCCAACCACTAAAAATATACACTTCCACTTGCATACAGCGACCCATTCTTCCTTTGGCCTCTGGCACCGAGATGTTTGGGAAGGACGCTGCTCAGAACCCAAGACAAGATTCTTCTAAGGTTTCCTTCCTGCCATTTTACTTTTCCTTATCACTAAAGTGATGTCCACCCATCACTTTACAACAAAGAAATAACCTGGAAGCCAAAACCCAAGGAGAAGAGCAAGTGGAAAACAGCTTACCCCATTTGCTTGGAAAAGCACTAGCATTAACGTGGGAGTCAGGTGGTTGGCGTTCTAGTCTCTGCGCATGAGTATTGAGGAAAAAGAGCAGAAAGAGCTGTGTTTCGCATGCGGCTGTCCCCATGTCCCTCTCTCACTCCATCCGGTCTGTGGGAGGTGTGGGAGAGGGCACACAGCCTGCAGGCTCAGCCCTCTCTTTCTTGGGGGGAGTCGGCCTGCCTACAGCAAGCTGTGCTCTGGTAAGTTCTGTACCTCGGGTGCACCCACCTCTGCCTCAGAGCAAATTTGTGCTGGTGTCCCCAGGGAGCCCACTGCCCTAGAAGGGGGGGGGTCTGGTTTATTGAACTACAAGCTACACAAGCATATCTACACACAAACCTCCACATACAAACACACAGAAACAAAACCCAACGTAACAGAAACCCCCTCAAACCTACAGGTAACTGAAGATACTCAATTTTGCTCAAACCACCCTTACAACCAAATGTCTAAGTGGTCAGCTTGGGTTTTAACCACATCGATTATTTTTTTTAGAGTTCGTTTCTTTTGAGAGAGAGCACAAGCAGGGGAGGGGCAGAGAGAAAAGGGGGGAGAGAATCCCAAGCAGGCTCCATGCTGTCAGCGCAGAGCCTGACGTGGAGCTGATCTCACATGATCTCATGAGATCGTGACCTGAGCTGAAACCAAAAGCCAGACACTTGACCAACTGAGTCACCCAGGCACCCCATGACCACACTGTGCTTTTATTTTTATTATTTTCTTAATAGTTATTTTTAAAAGAGAGTGACAGAGTGTGAGCAGGGCAGGGGCAGAGAGAGGGGGGGTGACAGATGCTGAAGCAGGCTCCAGGCTCTGAGTTGTCAGCACAGAGCTTGACGTGGGGCTCGAACCCATGAACCATGAGATCATGACCTGAGCCGAAGTCAGACACTCAACTGACTGAGCCACCCAGGTGCCCTGACCACACTGTTTTTATTTATTTTATTTATTAAAAAATTCTTTTTAATATTTATTTATTTTGAGAGACACAGAGAGCAGAGGAGAGACAGAGAGAGAGGGAGAGAGATAATCCCATGCAGGCTCCAGGCTCTGAGCTATCAGCGCAGAGCCCAATGTGGGGCTTGAACTCACAAACCATGAGATGACGACCTAAGCTGAAACTGAGAGTTTTATGCTAGACCAGCTGAGGCACACCGGTGCCCCTTGGCCACGTTGCTTTTAATCAAAAGACCAGGACCCATCTTTTAATAAGTCATCTTACAATAAACTGCTCTAACCTTCTACTTTCTTGCATATTTATCTGGTACCGAGCAGCTACCACATCAGTTGTTTTTTTCCTATCCCTGTTGACCAGAGAAAGGCATTCTGTGACCAGACCCTCAGAAACCTCTGGAATCCTCATCTTTTTTTCATAGGATTTTAATCACTGAGGGTTAGATTGTGCACACAGTACAGTTCATGAGTTAGCGTATGCCCGCCTTGGCTCCGGGGCTGATCTACGGGTGGATCAGGGTGCTATGTGTGGCCGACAGACACATCCGTACCTGGGCGTGCTCCTGGCTGGGCACGGCGCTCAGACCGGTTGCTGCCATATACGTGCTGCCAATGGTCTTGATCTTTTCAACCCCGCTAAACTTCGGCTTGGACAGCAGCTGTGAAGCAATGACAGTCGTTCAGTGACTCAGGTGGGTGCAGTTTCTAAAGACATTCTCCAATTCTAGTGCACAGTACTAGGAATATGGATGATTTCAACCACTGCTTGTTCACATTTGACCTTGGGCTTTGCTGAGAAAGAACACTTTATACGCTCCGCAAAGAGTGTGTCCTTGGAAGGAGTTGTAGCATCATGATATACTTCCAATTAGCATGAATTACCTTTTAATCTGCTATGGAAGGAACCAGGATAAATTATGATGCAAGTGATAATAGTCTCAAATAAATTTCCCAACTCTGTGTTTAAAAGGCCAAACACAAAAGTACGATTCAGTGAGGGAGGTCTCTGCACAGTGCAGGTGATTTATGACCAATTATAGTGCTGAGAATGGGTTTTTGCCTCTGAGCTCTAGATGTAAAGGGAATAATCATCCAGGCTGGCTCTCCCCATCAGCTCTGACCCTAATACTTCTTGTCGCAGTTTCTGGTACCGGTTACCAGCTTCCTACTGGCCCCCTCCCCATCCAAGTGCATTAGGACTTGGGTTGGGATGGAGAAAATGTAAAAATAAGAGCAGAAGCTGTAGGAAAGAGAAAGAAGGGGTGAGAGAGGAAGGGAAGGAAACTCTGGAAGGTTCTATATCTGCTCATGAGGACAACGGCACCCACTGATGACCGGGAGTATCTTCTTGACCCTTGGTTGGCGCACCTGCTTTCAGAGGGGGTTCTTTCAAGATTCTATGTCAGAGTGTCTAAGGCAGATTAGCAAATCCCTGTACCTTGTATCCATGAGCCAACCCAACCCAAAGTAGCCCTGCTACTCACCCACCTGTCCTGGGGAGCATTTATTTCACTGAGGGGCAGCTGTAGCCAATATGCAACTGTTTCTCACTAGGAACATGGTGTAACAGTGGGAAGCTCTAGTTGCCATTACTTTGCCATAGTCTTTTATTTAAATTTTTTTTTTTTTTTTTTTTACATTTTATTTATTTTTCGAGAGACAGAGAAAGACAGAGCATGAGCAGGGAAGGGCAGATAGAGGGAGACACAGAATCTGAAACAGGCTCCAGGCTCTGAGCTGTCAGCACAGAGCCTGACACGGGGCTCGAACCCAAAACCATGAGATCATGACCTGAGCCGAAGTCGGCAGCTCAACCGACTGAGCCACCCAGGTGCCCCTACTTTGCCATAGCCTTGAGTCAATCTCGTGGTGACAGTGGTGATCACAGAGAAATGCACAGGTCACACAAGACATTTAGAAGGTTGGCCTAAAACCATCATGTTACATACATAATGACATCACAGTATTTCGAAGTTCCATGAATCATGATGAACCTATGTTCATGGATGTCAAGTTTGCTCTATGTTCCTTGATATTTATAAGAATGATGTAGCAGCAACACCCTTAAAACCACTGGTGTGTCTTTTCTTATCAGTAAACAAAACACGTTATTCTCTATGCAGGCAGAACATTGAGAAGTGAAAAATGACACCTATTTCAAATTACGAAATATATACTTTGTCCCTTCTAAAATACATTATCCCTCACACATACTGCTTTTTCAATAATCGAGCATGTCATTCCTGCACAGTTCAAGCTGATATCTGACCTTGGAGTATGCCAAGATAGACATGCCAATAATCTACTATGATAAATACATTCATTACTGCTTTTTCTATCAACCGATAGGCAAGTATTTTCCTTGGAGTTCATGCCTTTTGAGAAAATTCACCAGCGCACTGGAAAGACATTTTATTGATATCAATTTTGGTCCTTGTTCCTAGGGAACATACTATCTCATAAATAAAATATATTATCTCTCCACAATGGGTCAAGGACCATAATAGAGCAACAGGGCTTAATTTCTAGCCAGCCACCAGAAATTACACCAAGAGATATTTTAAGATATGCCGCAAGATCGGACTAACTTCAAATGGAATGGCCACAAGAATGCCGCAGTGTGGGGCAGGGCCCACCCTTGCCTATGAAGCTTAGTCTTAAGTACCTACATCATCAAAGTCGGCGATGATCTCATTCAGGAGCCGAAGGCATTCCAAGCCCTCCTTGTTCACATCTGACTCTGTGTAGAACTCCTTGAAATCCGGAATGGAGGCGAACATGACGCAGACGCAGTCATAGGACTGGTGGTATAAGTCCTGCCCGGGATGAAAGGAAGAGCTGAGCACTAGGAACCTTTCTAAACAAACACACTTTTAGGACAAGCGTTTCTTTGGTAAAGAAATCACTTAGCGGCCCCCTCCACGTGCCCCAAACCAGCCCCTAGCCCATTCCAGACACCACTGACAGCAGGCGAGGACTTCTAAGGAGCAGGATGCAGGCTCTGAATCCTCCACGTAGTGTCTCCACTGCCACTACCAGCCAGTAGGAGGTGTCCTTCCACCAAAACTTCGTTGCCATCGCTGCCGTCAACAATCACGAGAGATCACAGACTTCTGGCTTCAGAAAGAAATCTCCTTTGAACAACTGAAGGCCAACAAAATGATCTCCCAAACTACTATATTGTCCTAAAATGACCTGTTATGGCTACATCCTTTGCATCGAGGTTTCTATGCCTATTTTTCTTTAGTGTCTCCTGAGACGAGCCGATGACACTCATCAAGTTACCTTTTAATTTCCCCAGAAAGAACCGTTGACACTCCCTGGGTTACTTATTCATATGGAATCAAACTCCAACCCTATTTATTCAAGATAGGCTTTTGTTGTTAAATATAAAGAAGCTCATAGTTCTTCATCCATAGACGTGAATAAAATTACAATGTCTTCTAAATACAATTTTAAGGTGTTTCCATGGTTTTTTCAGCATACGGTGAAACTTTCAAATTCAATGAAGGTTTCAGAAAGGAAGGGTTATTATGTGGGCAGAGGGCTGGTCCTGGGTGTGAGGATCTGTCCCCCCACTGCCGCTGGCTCATCAGGGGCCTCAGGTGGCACGACACGGGCAGGAAGGCCAGGTGCCATGGTGGGTGCAGTGCACCATGGTGGGTGCAGGGAAACACTCCCTCCACCAGGAAATGCAAGGAGAGTTCTGTCAAACAAGATGGCCGACCTCAATGTGGATGGAAGAATGTAAGCGGCTGGAGCTTCCTGTGTGCCTGGCAGGGAGAGGAAATCCACTCTGCATGAACGTTACGGTGAGCTCTGCTCTCGGGGGCACCCAGATGAATCCCTCGGCTGGGAGAGAGCCCTTGGACAGCACTGTAACTTGCAGCTTTGGTGGCCTCTCCAAAGAACCATTCTTCCCCCACTGAGGTCTCCTAACAAACACATCAGGACAATGGCGACCCATGGAAGGCCATAACCACTTCCTGGAAAAGCTAGACTCAAGTCAGCTTCCTGTTCTCAGGGCCAGCCACCCCGTAATGCCTTCTGCTACTGCCTCACAATCTCTACAGACACGTGAACAACAGAATCAAGGTTTTGCTTTTCTACTCTGCTCTCAATATGGTTGTGGTGCTGGTCCACTGTGCAGACCTGTCTTTGAGAAGTTGGTGTTGTGAATATTCTATATCCTGGGAAGACAACCTGTGGTACAGGTGACAGCCAAGCTTTGGGTCCTGCTGATTCTAAGCCAGGAAGTAGGAAGTCAGGGTTCAGGGAGACACAATCTCCTAGAAGCCCGTTCTAGTTAAATATGCCAATTTATAAAAGAAGCATAAACGTCACAGACTTCCCTATTATTTTTTAAGTTTATTCATTTATTTTTGAGGCGGGGAGGGACAGAGAGAGAGAGAGAGAGAGAGAGAGAGAGAGAGAGGAATCTCAAGCAGGCTCAGTATGGTCAGCACCAAGCCCAGTGTGGGGCTTGAACTCAGGAACTGTGAGATTATGGCCTGAGCCAAAATCAAGAGTTGGACGCTTGACTGACTGAGTCACCAGGTGCCCCACATACCCCCCTGTTCTTAATTTTTTTTTTTTAATTTTTGAGAGGGAGGGACAGAGACAGAGTATGAGCAGGGGAGGGGTAGAGAGAGAGGGAGACACAGAAGCTGAAGCAGGCTCCAGGCTCTGAGCTGTCAGCACAGAACCCAACACGGGGCTCGAACCCACAAACCGTGAGATCATGACCTGAGCCGAAGCTGGACGCTTAATCGACTGAGCCACCCTGGCACCCCTTCCTTGTTCTTAAGGAAAAGGGGTACGTATGGCAAGACAAGAAAATACTGTCTGTAACCTCTGTGTCCCCACTGTCTGTGGACACTGGCCAGGGTGACCGTGTGGGCAACAATGATAGAAGTAAGCTTGGTAGTGGTCAGCACTGACTCGGCAACTGCTGCCTGACCGGGGCCCCCTGAACACTCCACAGGAATTAACTTGCCCTTGACTATGATCCTATGAGCCTGGCACTATTACTTCAACGTACAGATGAGGAGACCGAGGCAGAGGGTGTTACAGTACTTGGCCAAGCTCGCAGTTACCAAGTCTGATGCAGAGCTCACTCTTACAGATGCTACACTTTACCTTGAACCTGCATCTCCTGATGACCACAGCCTGTGCAGCCTAGATTCAGGGGCAGCGTGGGCCTCGCACCACGGGCAGGTCATGTGGCTTTACCTTTCTCCTTTCCCCAGGGGTCCTTGAGGGTGTGTAGGAATGGGAGACAATGGAGTTGCCAGACTGGACTGGCTAGCAGTTCGGATGAGGGTCCATTTTAACTGCACTGTTTTTAACTAATAAAATAAGGTTTTTTATTGGAAGGGGCCTGATGTGTTATCTCCTTCCGCTGTCCTCAAACAGGAATGCACGGGACAGTCGCCAATGGGTTTTCTGGCCCCGGGGTGGGCTCCAAGCATGCGCATCAGTTTCGAAAAGCCGCACGAGTTATTCTGCTGTGAAGCCTAGGTTAGGGGCCATGGGCTAAGTGAGAAAAGAGGTCAGGGGATCTGGGTGACACGCTGAGGCTCCCAGCTGGGCTCAGGGCCAGGACGAATCTCGTGGGGCTTGTCGGGCCCTCTGCCGGTGGTGAGTGCTGCTGGGGGCTTGGGTTGCAAACTGCTCACCCACTCTCTCTATAGATTAGTTACCGGGAACCTTTGGGGAAACACAAGGATGTGCGTGGGTCTCTGGACCCCCAGTCCCTGATTCAGGCTCAAAGGCTATTGTTGAGAAACGGGGAAACTTCACCCATGGGAAGTTTCATAAATTCTCTGGAGCCGGTGAAACGTGCAAGGCTTAGAGCCATACCCTAAACTCAGGTCTTTGGGTTGGGCTTGGGGCCAGAGTAGACCACAAGCTGATTGGTTGATGGCCTGAACCTACCTCATGTTTCCAGAGGATCTGGGTGTGGGGGTAGGGCAAGACTTTCAGGAGTGTGTGCAATTTAAGGTCTAGAATGGGTGACTCTTGTTGGGCCCGCTGCTGCTAGAAAGTATGACTGAGCTTTGGACTTGGAAATGAGCTGAGATGTCATTTGTGAAAAAATAATCACAAAGCGACTGCATCTCTGTGCCCACTGTCCCTTTTAGTTTGCTGAGTGAGACTCGTTCCTCTCCAACCCAACCCACCCCTGGACGAAGACTTGGGGCAACCCTGTGACTCTTCCTGTCATTCTCAGGTGACATGGGTCCTCTTGTCGGTAATTAAAGCACCCGGCTCAACGAGTGGTCGAAACCCGGAACCTAGCTGGACGCGGGGCTCTTCCCCTTCCCCAGCAGGGCCTGCGGGGAGGGGTGTGCAGCGTGGAGGAGGGGCATGGCCGGCTTCTACACTCTCTACTCACGCTTCTCCTCCCCACCCCCCCCGCCCACTTCCTTAGCCAGGCTTTCCAAACACCCAGGGGTGCAGTGCAGGGAGAGAAGCATGTGACGGAGCAGGAAAGCACTCCACTGCCTGCCTCATGCTCCCTGGGCACTCACACCTGGGACGGGGCCATGGGTGACCGGAAGACTCCCTGTCACTTCCTCCATCATGGGACACCCTGCCCGAGGTTCCCTTGCTGGGTACGATACGCTCCCTCCTCCTTGTGACAGTCTCTGCCCCGGGCTCTCTGGCTATTGTTGGGGCCTGTTCACCCGTCCAGGGGGCTTTGTCAAACAGCATTTGATGCCAACTGAGATCAGATTGGTCCCTGAGCAACGTTCAGCACCCTCTGCCCTGACAGTCCCATTACATTCCCCACCCGCAGCCCCAGCTCTCTTGGCTCAGACACTTCCATCAGCCCCTTCTGTGCATTTTCCACTTGTCAGGGACCTGCTTGTCACCCGTGTCCCCCAGAGGCAGGTGTTTCCCAGGACCGCTCAGCAGCACAAGCACACTCACCAGGCTGAGTGGTCCTGACCATTCACAAGGCTAGAGGGGGCGGGAAGATCCCTGGGGGGCTTCTGTCTCGCTACGTCCTCCCCAGCACCCCTCTTCCAGCCCCCTGCCCATTCCTGTGCTTCCTGCGAGGGAAGGGTGGAGAATCTAGCAACTGGTTTTCCAAGGAAGCACTTAATTTTTTTTTTTTTTTAGTGTTTTATTTATTTCTAGGAGAGAGAGAGAGAGAGCGTGAGCAGGGGAGGGTCAGAGAGAGAGGGAGTCACAGACTGAAACAGGCTCCAGGCTGAGCTGGCAGTCAGCACAGAGCCCGACGCAGGGCTCGAACCCACGAACCGTGAGATCTTGACCTAAGCGAAAGTCGGACGCTTAACCGACTAAGCCACCCAGGCGCCCCGAGATACCTTTTGATTAGAATTGCAGTGACCCTGTAGATCTGTTTGGAGTGAATTAACATCTTAATGATATTGAGTTTTTTAATCCATGAATATGGTATTACCGTTTCATCATTTCTTTAGATCCTCCGATTTTTTTCCGTCAGTGTTTTGTAGTTTTTGGTATTCTTGTAGTACAGGTATTACACATATTTTCTAAGATTTATACATAAATATTTCATGTATTTCAGTGATATTCTAAACTCATTTATTAGTTCTTGTGACTTAAAAATAAATTTCCTTAGCATCTTCTAAATAAATGATCATGTCATCTTAAAATAAAGACAGTTTCCTATCTGGATGCCTTTTATTTTTTTGCTTTATTGTACCTCCAGCACAATTTGAATAGGAGTGCTGAAAGCAGACATACACACCTTGTTCCTAATCTTAGGAGAAAGCATTCTGTTTTTCACCATTAAGTAAGATGTTAGCTGTAAATTTTCCCCGAA